AAGATCCGAAATTCGTCAACGGAATTTCGTATTTCGGATTACCAAAAAAATACAATTGATCTATTCAAATATCAGAGACAGAGGTAGTAGGTACTAATACTAATATATAAAAAAATATATTTAAAAAAAATATACCATCGATCGACTACAATATCAGAGAAGAGAAATCTAATACTAATATTAGATTTAATTCAGTTTCAACGAAATTCGGATTCGGATCCGAAATTCGTCAACGGAATTTCGTATATTTCGGGGAAAAAACTCCAATATTAGCAAAGGGATTTTTTAACTTTATCATAACGAAACGAAAATATAACCGCCACGAATCCGAATTGAGTTCCGGACACGAATTACGAAAAACAAACTAACGGATTTTACTAAACGAAACAAAATTGGTGACGGCGCACAAGTCTAGTAGTGGGGGTCTGTGGGCAAGGGGGCTTATTTGCATCGGAGTACCCCTTTAAATAAGGGTGCATCCAGATGCCGCCCCCCCTTGTGAGAAATAAATAACATGTATTTGTGTTAAATTATAGGCTCTTGACATCATAGCATGGACCCTGGGAATCCTGTCTGCACACTCATGGTTTTTGCTGGTGTCACAGAGGATTTGCTTGCTTGCGGTTCCTGTAGGAGGCCATCTTGACATCCTCCACAATCTCTGTTTGAAGAAAGTGGATGCATTGTGGGTGCAAGATCATGTTGGCCAGGAGGACCTGAATGAACACCCTGGACTGTCTGAAGTCATTTGGAAGGAGGCCAGCAACTTCATCATCCCTCTCCTCTATGAGTGCTGGTGTATAATTGGCTTGTCGGCTTAGCCTGCCTACTAAGGATATTCCTCATCCCCATGGTATCCAAGTATGTGTGTTTGGGCAAAACCCTGGTCGGCTGGATGGCCGGAAGGCTCTCTTTATGGAGATTCTTTTTTAGTGCTGCTGCTCCAATAAACCTTATTTGTACTTTTACAGTTTGTGTCTTGGTTTCATTTTACAGCCTTGACAAACCAACATTAGTGTTTATGTATGTCAGAAACTAGATTAAGCCTACAAGCAGCATTGAGGAAAGGGCCTTTTGAGGCAGCTGCATGGGCAAGATTCCACACAACCCCAAGTCCTTTGTGTAAAATGCATGGGGAATGTGTCCCATATTTGTGTGATTTGACTGTCATTTTTGGTAAACGTTAGTTTCCTTAAGAGAAACAAAATGAGAGAGCTGCCTTTTAACACCACTTACTAAGGTTGCCACCTTTTCTTCAAGTGAAACCCGAACACTCTAGTGCCACAAAAAATTTTTTGGGGAGAATAGGAGAGAGCGAGGAGAGGCAGCCGGGGGAGGAAGTAAGGAGATCGGCCATAGAGAACTGCAAATCCCAGCAATACAAAAATAATGTGAAGCTACATATTCTGTGCTGTTCTTGGTTGGAGCCCTGATATCTTCAGGTGACCTGGTGATTTGTGCTGGCTGTGCGACACTCGGGTTTCAGGGAGCCGGTGTTGTGTTGAATTACGTTCCCCTGCCGCTAGGCTATTTCTGTAACCCCACCTTTTCATGCCTCTTCCTTTCAGCTGCATGGGGATCTACATAGCCCGGCGCTCTTCTATCTCTGGTGATCTATCACTTAGAGCAGTGGTTCTCAACCTGTGGGTCGGGACCCCCTCGGGGGTCGAATGACGATTTGCCAAGGGTCGCCTAGTGGCTCTCGGCCGCCGTGAGAGAGAGACACTTTCTCCCGGAAAGAAAGTGTCCTTTCTCTGCTCTGTTTTTTTTTTTTTAAATCGGGGGCAGCCGCAAGTCAGAAAAAAAAACCCACCATAGGAATGCATAGCTAGATTCCTATTGGCTATTTCACTTTGAAAAAGCCAATAGCAAACTACCTATTGCACCCGCCCTCTGATGCTGCCAATCAGCAGAGGGGGACCTGCAGTTCTCCATCAGGTCCCCTTCTAGTGATTGACAGCAATAATAATTTTCACTAGCCTCCTTCCACTTCATGTCCGGTACTTAGGCACTCCCACCTGCTTTAGACCACCACTGGCTGTCCGGACGTCCGTGCTGTGGGAGGAGAGTAGGGGCAGCCAGACAGGGCCAAAGCCGGTGTTCAGCAATGCAGAATACCACCAGCTATGGAGGACTACAAATCCCAGCAAAACATAGAGCAATGCATGCTGTATTTTTCTTCAAGACATTTTCACTGGTCATCCAAAAGCTGATCACATGACCAGTGAAGCGTCTCCCAGAAAAATACAGCAAGTGCAGTTGCCTTTTACAGATATTCTATGACCTGGATAAATTAACCTTCACAGACATAGAGCAATGCAGAATAATTGTATATGAATTTCCTACATACTCTGAGCTGCCGCTCTGCTCCGGGGTTCTGGCCTGATTTCTTCGGTAGAGGGTGTCAGGAGGGTGCAGGGGTCTTAGTAAGGGGAGGTGTGCGGGTGGCAGAAGCGCTGTAAGCAGGCATCACCTGGCTCCCCAGAAGGCTCCTGCGAGGTCAGATATAATACAGAGTAAATTGGTCAGCGGTGTAACATAGGGTGCGGAGGCCAGTAAGGTGACGCAGTGCGGAGGTCAGCAAGATGACGCAGTGCGGAAGTCAGTAAGGTGACGGAGAGTGCGGAGGCCAGTAAAGTGACGGAGAGTGCGGAGGCCAGTAAAGTGACGCAGAGTGCGGAGGCCAGTAAAGTGACGCAGTGGGGAGGTCAGATATAATACAGAGTAAATTGGTCAGCGGTGTAACATAGGGTAAAGAAATGTTTTTTTTTTGTTTACCCTTGCAGCGGCATAGCTGACAAGGGAGAGCAGCAACGCCAGCTGTTTTCTGTTTTCAACATGACTTCAAAACTTCCTTCACTTCCCTGCAATCTCAAGTTAATGAGATAGGGGAACGTACAGATCACATTGAAGCCAGAATGAGTGACTATGCATCAGCATATAATAGCATGGTTGATGCCTATTCTGATCAACAATATATGCTTCAAAAGCTCCAGGATAAGATAGCAGACCTTGAAGACCGGTCCAGAAGGAATAATATTAAATTCAGGGGGATCCCTGAGTCTGTCAGCCCTGCTAAATTACATGTCTTCTTACAACAAATGTTGACGTCCCTGCTACCGATTTTCCCTGCATTAGAGCTGCTCATTGAGCTTACAGGCTGCATGAATCCCAGCACCTCCCTGCCTCCATACCCAGGGATGTCATTGCTAGGCTGCACTACTACCATGTAAAAGAGAGACTCCTAGCTCTGACCAAACACTCAGCCAGCCTGACCCCTATTCTCACATCTCACTCTACTCTGATTACGGACTTAGTAATCAAGAGAGCAACGAAGATGTAAATGGAAGTGGATATAACAGGTGGGAGGATGAGGAAGTGGCAACAAATAGGTTGGAGCAGATCTGCAGTCATAATGGCGGCCTGCATCATAATGGCGGACTGCTAGGAGCAGTTGGTATCTTGCTAATCACAGTTCATCAAGTGAGCAATGCGCTTATGTTTGGGGGTGCAACAAACAGATGAGTTGTCAATGGTTATCTCTGATCACAGTTCAACAATTCAGCATAAGTAAAGGTGAAGTAGTTTCAACAGGTGGTTGATTACTTGTTAAGCCAAGCCTGAGTTCCCAATACAGCACAACCAGGTATTTGAGTGGAAATAACAGGTGGGAAGTTTCCCAGTTACTTGCGCTTTGCTTGAAGGTATGAGGCAAATGTGGATGGTACTTGGGGTGATCGATGCAACCTCAGTGTTGGTCCAATGGCAGGTCCTGGTGTGCAGCAATGAGTCTCACTCTCCAGTTCAGCCTGTAACACACTGTCTCTTGCTCTGTCCTCAGAGCCACTCGCTCGACGTTCCAGAACGATAGAACGCCGAGTGAGCTGTGTTTTTGAGGAGGAGCTGCAGCCAAGGGGAGGAGTCAGCCGTGACGTCATGGACGGACGCTCTGATCCGGGTAGGTCTGTGACACTGCATGCCCTACTGACCCTTGGTCTTTCTGTGCAAAAGTGTCGACTGCACATAATTTGTTTGCACCAGTTTTCTTATAATGGTTGACCATGCCTGAGGAGTGTGTGTCAGCAGGGCTGCTTGTAATCTCCACTAGGATCCCACCAGATAACATGGTTGTATCACAGCATGGACTTGAAACATGCCTGTCTTTGTTCATCTCTATTATTGATGGGATTAATGAGACTAGTGTCATGGTTGCCTCTGTATCAGTGGTCAGGGAACATAACTGGCTTAGTTTCTCTTTACCTATAGCAGCTAAGGTAAGGCCCCCCCTAAGGCAAGCAGGACTACTGGTACTTGCATATTTAGTTTATATTTAGACACACAAAAAAAGTCCATCAAAGTAAACCAATAAAAATGAATAAATAGAAAACATAAAGAGAACCCTATATCCACAGTTACCCATAGCTGATCCAGAGGAAGGCAAAAAAACCTTATAAAGCATGTGCTGTTTCTATAAAATGGACAGGTCATCCAGTAATATATCCCAGGGTTGGTTTAACAAGTATGTGTAAACCCTACAAATGAAATTTTCTAATTTGTTCGATAACTGCAAAAAAATGATTTTGATCTTGATTTTGATTTTGTCTTTTGAGCTTCTCTGCCTGCACACAAGGAGGGGTTATGGATATGAGGAGGCGAGAAGGAACTTATGAGATGCCTTTGTTCTTTGTAATCCATCAGAAATAAAGCAAGCAGGGCTGGCACCACATGATTAGGAATTCAGAGTTGTGTTGTCATTTCAAAGAGGAAAGTAGGAGCATATTTCTGGCACATCAACAGTTATTTTTCTGTACTTGCAGCATGTTTAAGGGCATAAAACATGGGGACATGTGCATGTATTTCAGGGAAATACTAAATATGTTTTAATTTTGCCCTGACATATCCTTTGAATGAAATTTTTCCAAGGGATGTAATCATTGTAACTCTAAAAGGTACAAGCATTAGTCACAAAGACTGATTATATAAGGACTGTAATAATTAAAAAAAAATGTGTTAAAAAAACAATCTTGCAATTGGGACCTCTCCTTTTTGGTCCAGTTCATTCTGTTTCCAAAGGGCGAATTTTGATGACAGTGGATTTTAGTGGGTAATGCCTTCCTTTCCAAGTCTTCCAAAAGATTCCCTGCTTTCTCTCATGTCGCTGCCTTGGTATTGAGAGGAAATATTTACCATTTAGGTTAGACTTGCCACATGTGCTAAACCACCAGCCTCCTGGAACAAAAAGTAATTGATTTTTAACAAGTAAATTACAAGGGTATCCATTTCCTATAATTTAGATTAAAATAGTTTTAGATTAAAATTACTACTTTTATTCCAGTTTGTATAAATCAGCTTCTGTAGCATAACATCTTTTACAGAACCAATATAGTCACAATACAGCATTTTACAAGTATATTGTATATTAAAATACTGTCCATTAAAAAAACCCTTACAGGGATTTGGGAACATATATCTACCATTGGGCTTTCAAGACTGCAACTGCTGTGCACCAACAAAGAATTATCTCGCCTGCCTCTAAGCACCGTGAGTGTGAGAAAATAAAGTACTGTACAGATAGAAGAGCACTGTATTACTGTCATTCAGTAAGTTTACCAAAATGCTGATTTTCCTTAAATATTGATATTTTATAAGTGCTTAGGCTCTTGCCGGTAATTGCAAGAGAGGCTCCATTTCACCTCTATGTGCAATAGAAATTCTATTGTGCCCAGTTTTGCCCCTCCCTCCAAAAAAAAAGAGGGTTGGAACTTGATTGTGTGGCATATTCTAGATTGTGGACCTTCAAATTGTCCCACTCCCAATAGCTGATTGGCAGATGAAACTCTCAGCTCGAAACCTGGATTCTGCTGCGCGCTGGGGAAGCTGTGTGCTCAAACCCCTAAAGAAAGCCATTTGTGTGGGATTTTGGCCCTTAAGATTTCTTAGCATTTAGCAGTGAGTTACGGTTACATCACCTGCACCTACCAGAATTTTTGGAATATGGGTTCTGAGGTTTTTTAATTTAAAAAGCTGTTTGTTTTTTTTAAATTGTTTATGACCTTTTTTAGAACACGTGGTACAGGGCTGTCATCTAAGCAGACAATCAATTTTAAGATGCTATAACACAAATGTGGAAAAAAGGTACACATTCCTTTAAAAGGACTTCTTTCCAAAAAGTCCCCAGTGTCCCAAACCTTGATAACTTTGATTACGTTTTGTGTTAATTTCTCAGTATGAAGAAGTATACAATACATTAGATAGTTATTATTCCACTGTATGTTTTCCTAAATTGTCCTACTTGCCTGAAAGAAGTTTTGCACAGTTGACATCGGATTGTAAGTCCTGATCTCGGTCCTGGGTAGAGAATGGTTGTTGTTGAAATTCACTCAGAGCATTTTTCAGATCTCCAGTCACTGGTTCAAATATCTGCAGGGCATAAGCTTTGTCTGGGCCTCCTAAGTTGAAATGGACCTCCATGTACTGAATGTTTTCCTCCCAGTCTTGCAGTTCTATGTGCATAATGTACTGCCTCTGCTTAGTAATCTGATGCATCTTTGAAAGACCTAGCCAGAACTCACCTAATGAAAAGCAGAGTAACAAAACAGAAAACAAAATTGAGTTTTTGCAGTACTCAATTTGGTAATATACTGTCAATTTCTACAAGCTGTATTTTTGATATATGCAGATTTTCAAATTGTCCTGGCTATTAATATTGGCAAGACCACAGATCTGGATAATTATAATCAGGATAAAAAAGAATACAGTGGGGCCTATAGCAGACCTAAACCATTAAGTTTGGTCTGCTTTACCAGATTACTACCTCTTCCTGCCTCCTGACTATATAGGTAACGTTGGGTTGTAAAAATTAAGTCCTGCAAAACTTCAGGTGATGTATCCTGGAGCCACATAAGTCTGCATTGGTGCACTGATGTCAGTAGAAACTGCAGTGAAAATGTAGTTTAGAACTTCCTTACATTCCAGATTCACAGGATTGGACACATTTTGGAATACAGACCATACAAGACATCACACACCGGCAAATATTTACCCCTTTTGCTGTACCTTGGGTTAAATACAACCTCCCCAGCTCTTTTTTATTCCATTATATGCAGGTTGTCCACGCCTACACCTGACAATTTCAGGGTCCCTCCCTAACATTACATAGTTAGTCAGGTTGAAAAAAAGACACAAGTCCATCGAGTTCAGCCTATAGAGATAAGAGGAGAAAAAAAGAAGAAAAACCTAAAACAGAACGCTATGCCTACTGTTGATCCAGAGGAAGGAAAAAAAGAACCCTATAAAGCATGGTTCAATTTGCTCCAACAGGGGAAACAATTCCTTACTGATCCCATAAGGCAATCAGATCAACAATATCTGGTGCTTAATATACCTATAATCAATATCAATATCCAATAATATTCTGTGCATTTAGGAATACATCCGGATTTTGTTTTTTAAACAGTTAACTGAGCTAGCTAGAACTAGCTCCTGGGGGAGTCTGTTCCACATTTTCACAGCTCTAACTGTGAAGATTTTTTTCCGTATGCGAAGGTTAAACCTCTTTTTTCTCCAGACGCAAAGAGTGCCCCCTTGTCCTTGTCCTTAACCACTTAAAGTCCGCGGTGTTAAACCCCCTTCCCATGCAGGCCATTTTTTTAGTATTCAGCACTGCAGTACTTTGACTGACAATTATTCAGCCATACAATGCTGTACTGAAATTAATTTTATACCATTTTTTGTGGACAGATAGAGCTTTCTTTTGGTGGTATTTAATCTCCACTGGGGTTTTAATTTTTTACTATATTAAGGGAAAAGTACCGAAAATTTTGGAAAAAAACTGTTTTCCCTATGTTAAGCTATGAAAATTTGCACATAAATAATCTTTTTTTTAATAAATTTAGGCCAAAATGTATTCTGCTACATTTCTTGGGTAAAAAAAAAGAAAAGTGTAAATTAATTACAATGTGTGAAAGTTATATAGTCCACAGACTATGGTATATATATTTTAATTGTATCAACCCTGGTGCCCTGACTGCTTATCGCATTTCTTGAGGCCCCAAAATGCATGGACAGTAGAAAGTCCCACAAAATGACCCCATTATAGAAAGAAGATACCCCAAGGTATTTGCATGTTGAGTGTTTTCTAGGTTTCATTTTTTTGGTAAACGTTCACAGAAAATGAAGATATTTTTTTTGTTTTTTTTTACAAAAAGTTGTCAGTTAAAAAGATATACCTAACATACAGCATGGGCACACATAAAATTGTACCCCCAAAAAACATTCTGCTACTCCTTCCAAGTATGGGGATATCAAATATGTAAGACTTTTTTGCGGCCTAGCCCCTTAGAGGGGCCCAAACTCCAAAGAGCACCTTCAGGTTTTGAATAGACATAAATTGCACTTTTGTTTTTTTGACTACCACATTTTTGGAGGCCCTGAAGTGCCAGGAGAGAAGAAACACAAACAAAATGACCCCATTTTGAAAAGCAGACACCCAAAGGTATTTGATAAAAAAAACATGCCGAGTCTTTTGAAGATTTCCTTTTGTGCCACAGAATTTTAGAAAATGAAGAACACAAAGTTGACAATTTATACTACTATTTCTAACCAACAGCTTTGACATCCTTAGAATAACACCTCAAAACACATTCTACTAATCCTCCTGAGTTTGCGGATACCACACGTCAAACTTTTTTTGCAGCCCAGCCACATAGAAGGGCCCAAAATCAAAGGAACACCTTGAGGCTTTCAAGGGGCATAAATTACTCATTTGATTCCCTGACTACCTATTGCATTTTTAGAGACCCTAACGTGCCAGCGCAGTAGAAACACCCACAAAATGATCCCATTTTGGAAAGCAAGCACCCCAAGGTATTTAATAAGAGGCATGGTGAGTTTTTTGACCACTTAATTTTTTTGCCACGAGTTTTTAGAAAATGAAGAAAGGAAAAAAAAAATTTGTGAATTAACATGATATAGCTAACGCACAGCATAGAAATCCTTAGAATTACACCCCAAAACACATTCTGCTACTCCTCCTGAGTATGGGGATAACACACGTGTCAGACTTTTTTGTGGCCCAGCCACATAGAGGGACCCAAAATTTCAAGGAGCACCATGATAACCTACAGGAAGCTGAACAAAGGGTAAACCTGTGATTCCAGAAGTGCAGTTGTCAGCAAAGAATGGCTGGGACTGGTGTTTTGGCTGGAATATTGTCAGTGGGGCATGCAGATGGATCACTACAGGCAGCAGACAGAGATCAGTTCAGGCGGCAAGCAGAGACCTGGTCAGTATGCAGGCAAAGGATCAGTCCAGGCAGCAGGCAGAAACTTGGTCGATAAGCAGTCCTAGGTCAGTTCAGGCGGCAGGCAGAGATGTGGTCGATAAGCAGTCCTTGGTCAGTTTAGGCGGCATTTGGAAACGTGGTCGATAAGCAGTCCTAGGTCAGTTCAGGCAGCAGGAAGAGACATGGTCAGTACCCAGGCAAAGGTCAGTTAACGTGGCAGGCAGAGACGTGGTCAGTATCCTGGCAAAGAATCAGTCCAGGCAGCAGGCACAAACGTGGTCGATAAACAGTCTTAGGTCAGTTCTGGCAGTAGGCAGAGACATGGTCAGTATCCAGGCAAAGGTCAGTTAAGGTGGCAGGCAGAGACATGGTCAGTATCCAGGCAACAAATCAGTTCAGGCAGCAGGCAGAAACGTGGTCAATAAACAAGCAAGGGTCTGTTCAGGAAGCAAGCAGATCAATATTCAGTAGGGATGTCCCGATGCCACTTTGTTAAGTCCAAGTATTGCCGATACCAATTACCGATACTTTTCCTATGGGGCCCTGTGATTTCTAGTTACGCCCCTGATAACATGATTAGGTTAATCATGATCAGTACAGTTCAGTACAGTACAGTTCATAGTACAGTACTATCTGATTGGACAAAAAAGGGAAGACTGTAACTGAAGACATTTCTCTCTCTCTCTCTTCCACTTTTTTCCTTCCTTCCTTACTTTCTTTCTCCCTCTCTTTCTTTCTCTCCGGACGACGTTATATATTGGAGAGTAGTCCAAGAGAGTTCAGGTGACGGTTAGAGGATTGTCAGACCCCCGAGTCCAAGACAGCTTCATAAAATCGTCTCACACAAATTCCTGAACCGGACACATATATTCTCATAACAATGGGACAGCAATTAGACAAACCACAAGAAGGTGACTTAGCGTGCGACTTGGTATCAGACCGAGCAGGGAGGCATGCAGTCAGAAAAGGGAAGAAGTTGTCAAAGATATGTGACGTCACCATGCACCTGGGTGGCCGACTGCAGCCAGAAGAATGGCGTCTTTTGTTAAAAAGAAAGAAAGGGCTTTTGTCTGACCACGGATTGTTAGCCACAGCAGAAGCCTGGTACAATGTGGCAAGAGCTATTCAAGGAGAGGGGTGGGTAGAGCACGAGACAAATCAACATGGATACATTGTATATGTATATCACGAACCAGAGACCAGACCAAGACATGGCGGCTTGGCGGTGGTTACTTCCCCTTCGTCTCCTCCAGCAACTTCCTCATTATAATCTTGTTCCAGGCCAATGGAGGCATTCAGGTGTCATCACCACTGACTGTAGATGACGCTTCAGCCCTTTGTTCCATTCCCCTTCTATTATCCTTGGATGTGCCAGACGAGGCTGCAATTCCAACGGAGACCTTGAACCACATTCCTCTTCATCTGTGGTCCACAGGACCCGAAGATATAGGACACCTGAAAGTGCCTCCAATCATGGTACAATTGAAACCTGGAAGCCCCTTACCCAGAAAACCGCAATACCCTTTGAAGCTAGCTCGATCTGCAGCCATTTCGCAACAAGTGTCCAATGGAGCTCTGATACCCTGCATATCCCCATGCAACACACCATTGTTCCCAGTCAAGAAGCGGACCTCAAAAGGAGAACCGGAAAAATACAGGATGGTTCAAGACCTTCGAGCAGTCAATGAAGCCACTGTCCTGGAAACCCCGATTGTCCCCAATCCACACACACTGCTAGCAGGGATACCCCCTACCTCGAAGTATTTCACGGTGATTGACCTGGCAAATGCTTTCTTTAGTGTACCCCTTGACCCTAGGTGCCAGTTTCTCTTAGCCTTCACTCACGAGGGCCAACAGTATACTTGGACTGTTATGCCCCAAGGGGCCCAAAACTCTCCTTCTCAATTTGCCAGAGCCATGGCCCTCATTCTGCACACCTGGATGAAATTACACCGGGAAGTCGTACTCCTCCCATATGTGGATGACCTCCTTCTCTGCGCAGACAACCTTGAAGATGCCTCAACCTCCTCAGAAAGTCTACTCCACTACCTGGCTGGCCAAGGATGCAAGGCCTCGAAACAAAAGGTGCAGTGGTGTAAAGAGAAGGTGGCTCTGGGTCCGAAATCCCTCAATGCCTTTCTGGGATTAATCTCCTACTGTCGTTCTTGGATCCCAGGAGCCTCTCTCTTGATGCAGCCCCTCTATGACGCCCTGAAGTCTGACCCCTTCTCGTTATCTTCTGAGGCCCTGGATAACTTCGAGATTCTGAAAGGGATCCTGGCCTCTGCC